GGTGCCAAGCAAGTGAAAAATACAGCTAGGCTTTTTTCCCTCCAGGCCAGGGCCTCACCTGAGATAGAAGTCGCTAAGAATGACAAAAGGTGCTGGAAGCAAGTCATTAACCATCAACCAGGCAGGAGGCTGTGTTGGTGCTGGGAGGAGGCTGCCAAGGTGATGGGGAAGCGTGATAGCACACAGGAAAAATATGTCCTTTTGGAAAACAGAGGTCTGGATAAGAGAAATGAGCAGATAGATGGAAAGGAGTTACTTGGAGCAGGGCTTTTTTTGGTGAAGCGGAAAGGAAGCGGACAGAACTCCATGAGCAGCCGTGAAGGCCAGAACCACCTTGGCAGGCCGGGGCAGAGTCACAGAGATGGCATGGAGAATGTCTCAGACTCCAGTACTGCACTGGTCTGGGGAACAAGCTCCTCTGGAGATGTAATGCTCTGAACTCTTTCTGGAGAAGACCTAGGTGTAAATATATGTACAATAAACCATATATATTTCATTGGAACTGAGTGAAGATGGCGGCTGCCAGCAGCGAAAAGACCTTTGGATTGATTTGGCAGAAACACCAGCATGTGAGGAGATGCCGCGAACTTATAGAGGGGAATCATAGACATAAAGTCCACACATCATTGTTTGCTTCAACTCGCTTGTGGGAACCACTCAGAGGCCGTGAAAGAAGGAAGGTTAACAACAGGAAGAATTAGAGGAACCATCGGAAATGACTATGAAAAGCAGTAGAGATATGAGATGATTAGAACCCTCCGAACTTGAAGCATGGGAAGTCCCATTAAAAAAATTATAATTTGGCAGAATATTTGGATTATTTGATATGTATATGTTTAATTTGGAATATTTAATGTGATTTGATTGGATTGTTAAAGTGGAAAATTTAATAAAAATGAATTTAAAAAACCAACAAACCATATATATTTTGAAAGACACTAATCTCTGCTGTGCCTTGATGTCCCAGCAGAAACACACCCCATAGGGAGTGCCTGGAACCCCCTGGAAACTTGCTGCTGCTTAGCAGATATTGGGAGTGGCACACAACCTTTTAAACAAGTGCATTAGGCTAGTGTTTGTAAAGATGCACACACCCTTCTCTACCCTTCTTCCTGGCAAAGCAGGAGTCACTGAGAGCATTCAAGGACACATTCCAGCCAGGGGGAAATACTCCAGGAGAGCAGGACCAGTCTGGGGTTTGGCAATTGGGAAGGGGACCAAGGGCCAGAGAGAGGGGTTTGGAAGGCCACATTTTGCACCAGATCCCAAGGTTCCCTCAGACCCTCCAAGTGTCCCTATTTTCCATCCCAGTTTCTGATTTGATCCCAGAATGTCCCGCTTTCCCTTCGGATATCCCTTTTTTCATCGGAGAAATGTTGGAAGGTATGGTGTGAACCCTGAGCCAAGGAGATAAGTAACAATGCAACCTTTGGAAGACATCTGAAGGCAGCCCTGTATAGGGAAGGGTTTTTTAATGTTTTATTATGTAGCAACCCAGTCCGATGTAGAGATATTATTATTATTATGGAGTAAAGGTAAAGGTAAAGGGACCCCTGTCCATTAGGTCCAGTCGTGGCCGATTCTGGGGTTGCGGCACTCATCTCACTTTATTGGCTGAGGGAGCCTGCATACAGCTTCCGGGTCATGTGGCCAGCATGACTAAGCCACTTCTGGCGAACCAGAGCAGCGCATGGAAATGCCGTTTACCTTCCCGCCGGAGTGGTACCTATTTATCTACTTGCACTTGATGTTCTTTCGAACTGCTAGGTTGGCAGGAGCAGGGACTGAGCAACGGGAGCTCACCCCATCGCGGGGATTCAAAATGCCGACCTTCTGATCGGCAAGCCCTAGGCTCTGTGGTTTAACCCACAGCGCCACCCACATCCCTTATTATGGAATAGGGCACCCCTATTTTCATTGGAGAAATGTTGGAGGGGATGTTCCCCTTACCTGCTATACACATTTATAGTTCCTTATCTATCCAGGCAAGCAAGCATTGTCAGAATTCAAGCACACTTTCCAGGCAAAAATAACCAAGGAGAGCATGGGTAAAAAGCAGGGGTCGTGGAGAGCATGGCCTGTGAAGAGTGGGTATGGCTTGTGGGGAGGATGTGGGGCTGCATAAGGAGTATTGTGGGGCCACATCCCCCCCACCCTCCACCCTGAGATTCTACACCCTTGCTTCTGATTAAGTTTCACCCCTTTTTGAGTTTAATTATGATAAAAGTGTGCATTGACAATAAGTAATATGAAATCGAAATATGGCATATGGAATAGACGGGAGGTTGGGTTTTTAGTGTTAAGACCAATATATGTTTTATTGCTTGTTAAGAAAATTATGTGTCTATGGTTATTCTTGTGTACAATTTGGTATTTGTGTTTTTTCTTTTTTCTTGCTATATCAATAAAAATGTAAAAAATAAAATAAAAAAAGTTTCATCCCTTTTTGGCATCGGTTTCTCCTTTTGCAAACTGAAACCTTTCTTTCTGCGCTCTCCTTTGTTTTTGTAGCACCACCCCGGCGTTAGCCCAAATGCCGATGAGTTCATTCCTATGCACAGGAGCACATTTCTGAATCAACAACGTGAAGCCATAGCAGTCCTTCAGACATTCTTGCTCTTCTGGGTGCTAAGGAGAGGAAAGGGCACGCGAGCTGTGCCTCCCTCCCCTGTCTTGCCTGGGTCCCAGTGAAATGTCAGGGCAAGGATTTGAGGTTGTTTCCAGGTTAACCATTGTGAGGCCTAGATCACCATCCGCCTTGCCTCATGCCATTGAGAGCCAGGGCTGGGAGCATTAACTGCTTGACTGCTGTGTTGTACTCAAGACACAGTGAATTAGCTGTGTCCTGTCCTTACAAGCACAGTCCAGCCTCCGCTGCTTATTCTTGTCAATTCAATCCAATATTTAGACGATTAAAAGTGTGTTGTTGTTGTTGTTTTTAAAAAATCAACACCGTCTTTATTTTTGTTGCAATCATTTGCTGTTGGTTATAAAGAGACTTGATCATCTAATCCAGGCATGTCCAAAGTCCATTTTGGGGGCCTAATCCGGCCCGCCAGTGGGTTTAATCCAGCCCCTGTGGCAGTTTATTTCCTGGGGTAAAATCCTAAAAAAACCCTCAACAACTTCAACCCTAAAAAAAGCTCTCAACCCTTCACTTCATCAGATCTGGCCCTCTTTGAAAAAAGTTTGGACACCACTGATGAATCATAGTAATGCTTAGTACTTAATAGTTTGCCAGTGTGGTGTAATTAGAACAGACTTAGGACCCAGCTACATGAATAAAAAATAGCGTTCTAAATGTGTTATAAACATGGAACACCAGATGGCGCTGTAGAGCACAAAACTTTCCTATGCGATTTTACATACGGTTCCCCCCTTTTGTTATAGCGATTTAATTTATGACTTATTCATAGCGTTTTCTCCCTGTGTGTAGATCCACCCTTAGAGTGTCAAACTAGGATCTCGTTTGAAATCATCACTCAGCCTTGAAGCTCACTGGGTGCTGTTGGGTAGATGACTGCCTCTTAGCCTCACCTACCTCACAGGGTTGTTGTTATAAAATGGGGGGTGGGAGGACCATGAACGCCACCTTGAGTTCCTTGGACATACAATGAAGTGTTGACTTTGTTGATTCACAACAAAGTGCCATGGGTGCCAGCACAAGATCACTTCTACTATGGGCAGTAAAAAGCTTTATTAAAAAGTTGGAGGGACTCTATAGTAGTGAATACTGTCACAAAAAGCACTGATATATGTGATAAATAAAAATAAATACTGTATAAAGGTGCAATCCGAAGGTTCAGGGTGGTGCCCATAGAGCCATACGATACTGCAGACCTCCCTCTTTGTGGGTGGAGAGGAAGGTCTCATTACAGGGGGGCTGCAGTAAATATGTCATTGGATATTATTATGATCACATCCACACCAGAATTGATGGGATATTTCTATTGTTAACGTCAGCTGATGAGGTCTCAGACTCTACCCTGTTCTGCTATATTTGCATATTTTAAAAAAGGTATGGCGGGACTTGACATCTTTCCGCAGGGCCTGCAAGACAGAGCTGTTCCACCAGGCCTTTGGCCAAGGCACAGTCTGACCCCCTCCTTTGGTAATCCTCATAGAAGTCTAGCCCAATGGTTGCCATTAATTTGATTTTGAATTGATTTTAGAGTGAATTGATTTTAGAATGCTGTGTTACTTTTATTGTTGTTAGCCGCTCTGAGCCCGGCTTTGGCTGGGGAGGGCGGGATATAAATAAGATTGTTGTTGTTGTTACAGTGGTACCTCGGGTTACGTACTTAATTTGTTCCGGAGGTCCGTTCTTAACCTGAAACTGTTCTTAACCTGAAGCACCACTTTAGCTAATGGGGCCTCCTGCTGCCGCTGCACCACTTTAGCTAATGGGACCTCCCGCTGCCGCTGTGCTGCAGGAGCACAATTTCTGTTCTTATCCTGAAGCAAAGTTCTTAACCCGAGGTACTATTTCTGGGTTAGCGGAGTCTGTAACCTGAAGTGTCTGTAACCTGAAGCGTATGTAACCCAAGGTACCACTGTATTATTATTATTACAGTGGTACCTCTGGTTACGTACTTAATTTGTTCCGGAGGTCCGTTCTTAACCTGAAACTGTTCTTAACCTGAAGCACCACTTTAGCTAATGGGGCCTCCTGCTGCTGCCGCGTCGCCGGAGCACGATTTCTGTTCTCATCCTGAAGCAAAGTTCTTAACCCGAGGTACTATTTCTGGGTTAGCGGAGTCTGTAACCTGAAGAGTATGTAACCTGAAGCGTAGGTAATCCGAGATAATGTGTTATCCATTTGATGTTAGCCGCTCTGAGCCTGGCTTTGACTGGGGAGGGCGGGATATAAATAAAATTTATTATTATTATTATTATTATTATTATTATTATACCACTGTATTATTATATAACCTGTAGCTCTGGTGGGGACACTCATCGCCGACGGCTTCCAATTCTGCCTTTTCCAGCACCAGAGAGTCATGCTCATACCACCTCCTTCAAGTGATATCTACCCCTTAATGCTAATGCTAAGTGTCTTTTGCTTCTTCTTCTTCTTCTTCTTGTTAGACCTGCTGGAAGGAGTCAATATCACCAGCCCGGTGCTGTTAATTCACGGTACAGTTGGCAAGTCTGCCCTGCTCTCCGTGAAATACACCAGCACCAGCCGCGACAAACCCGTGATCAAATGGCAAGTGAAGCGTGACAAGGCTGTGACGGTGGTCCAGTCCATCGGCACCGGGATCATTGGTAACTTGCGCCCGGAATACAGGGACCGGATTAGAATATTTGAGAATGGCTCCTTGCTGATCAACGAGCTTCAGCTCTCGGACGAGGGGACGTATGAAGTGGAAATCTCCATTACGGACGACACTTTTACAGGGGAGATGAACATCAACCTTACAGTGGATGGTAAGTGAGCCTTAGAAAAAATGAACTTTTTTTTGTTCATTAGTTAAAGGTATTTATTTATTCTCTAGGTGGGGGGAAAGACTTTCATGCAGCTTCGACATATAATAACACATGGTTTGGACTAGGAATGGGCAAATCTGTCAATTTCAGTTCCACCTTTTCCACGTATTAAAATTCATTTCCCCACCAATTTGCATGGAGAGAGAGAGAGAGAGAGAATCAGCAGCATTTCAGTGCAAATTTCTCTTAATACATACATTTTTTAATGCAGTGTTGCCCAATCTGCACAATTGTGCAAAGCATTTTTTCCTAATTTTTGTACACTGTTTTTGTATGTTATTTTCACTAATTTATATACAAACTTTACCCTGGTGTGTGCGCATTGTTGCATACCTTACCGGGCTGCAGAACTGCATTTCAAAATTCAGAGAAGTGTGAATTTTCAGAGGGATGGCTGAGTTTTGGTTCACATCCCGTTTCAGAAAATGAGAATCAGGTAAGTTCACTTTCAAACATGAATTGGATAAAAAAAATTCTCCCTCATGCCAAGCTTGGGCCTTGCTGAAAACCTTTTGCAAAACATCGTCCACAGTTGCTACTATAAATGAAACCTCCTCCTGTATATACCCTGTAAGTTCAAATCCAGTGGAGAGCTTGGAGACACTGTGTTGCATTGTCTCATGCCAGCTGGCTTGGATTTCAGTGTCATTGTCAAAGCACAACTGCCATCATGTGACAAATGCTCTTTTTCCCCCCTAGGCTTGCCTTGCTTGCCATTTAGCCCTCTCCTATAACTCCATTGCTTTCTACGGGACCGCCTCTCCTGGTATGTCCCATAGAGGACCTTACGGTCTTCAAACAAAAACATCTTGGATGTCCTGGGCCACAAGGAGGTTAGGCTGGCCTCAATCAGAGCTAGGGCTTTTTCAGCTCCATAGTTTTATCATATTTATTTTTTTAAATGATATTTATTAAAGTTACAAAAAATAGAAGAAGTACAAAATACAGAAAAAAGAGTAAATTTTTTTTTTAAATATAACAAAAAAGTAAAGGATAAAAAAGAAACATACAAAATAAAACAGTTAAAAAGACATTAATTTTCCAAACCTATCTTCTCTAGACTTATTTCCCCGGACCTCCTCATACCTCCCTTTTTTGTATTCCAGTTCAGTTTGTTAGTTCAGCAAATCCTTACCATTAAACTTTTGCCCAATTGTAAGCCTTTTTTCATATCTCTTAAATCATTACAGCTAAAAAGCTCTTAGTTTCTATCCAACATCCTTCTAAGATTCCTTAATTTTACAATATTTCTGTAAATAGTCTTTAAATTTCTTCCAGTCTTCTTTCACCGACTCTTCTCCCTGGTCTCGGATTCTACCAGTCATTTCCGCCAGTTCCATGTAGTCAATCACCTTCATCTGCCATTCTTCCAGAGTGGGTAGATCTTGTGTCTTCCAATACTTTGCGATGAGTATTCTTGCTGCTGTTGTAGCATAGTTTTATCATTTTTTTCACTTTGCTCTTTACTGAGAATCTTTGCTTGTTTTGTCTTTGTCTTCCTAGTTCCAATTTCAAAGCCTCATGTCGCCCTGGCCTCCTCCACTGTGCTGGAGCTCAGCGAATATTTCACTCTGAATTGCTCCCATGAAAATGGCACAAAGCCCAGCTACACGTGGCTGAAGGACAGCAAGCCCCTCAGCAATGACTCCCGGCTGATCCTCTCCCATGACCAGAAGGTGCTGACCATCACCAGAGTCCTGATGTCTGACGATGACACCTACAGTTGTTTGGTGGAGAACCCCATCAGCAATGGACGCAGCATCCCCATAAAACTTACCGTGTACAGTAAGTATGGTCAACATGGGGAAACCAGAGACTGGGTCTGCCTTAATTATTATATACCTTGTCATGTGAAAAAACCCAAAGCCTTCCTTTTAGGAATTCTAGGTGCCGAAATCACAAGGGAGCAGAAAAGACTGTTTATGTATGCAACCACGGCTGCGCGGATGTTATTGGCCCAGAGATGGAAAGAAGATGAAGTCCCTACCAGAGAAAAATGACAGATCAAGTTGATGGGATTATGCCAAAATGGCCAAAATGACTGGAAGAATCAGAAACCAGGAAGGCCAAAATTTTAATAAGGAATGGGGGAAATTTATAACTTATCTTAAAAACCACTGCAAACAGTTAAAATATTTAGTAGGATTGGAATTTCACTTGTAGTTTAATGGTGAATTTTGGACACTATGGAGAGGCAAAAGATTTTGGATTATCATAAAAGATGCAGGAGGAAATGATTAACAATAGGACCCACAAAGGGGAGGAGGGAAGTACAAGAGATTCCTTGGAATCTTGATTTTATGTTGTAAGTTGGATATGTGACTAAAATTTTAATTTGAAAAAGCAAATAAATAAATAAAATTAATAATAATAGTAATAGTATTAATAGTAATAGTAGTAGTGGTAATAATAATAATAATAATAAATGTAGTGGAACTGGAAACAAAGGCGGAAAATGTCCTGGCCTTGCTGAACCCAACATTCCATTACTTTCCAAAAATTTATGGATGTTCCAAATTTTTTATCCAGGGTTTTATCCAGTGCTAGAGTAGATCTATTGAAGTTAATGGACATCTGCACTATACATTTAAAGCAGCATGTATCATTCCACTTTAAAGAGCCATGTCTTCTTCCAAACAATCCCAGGACCTGTAAAGGGTTCTGGGCGTTGTTAGCAGGCCCCTTCTTCCCCTTGCAGTGTTATAATTCCCAGAGAGGGTTAACAACCAATCCCTTTTCTCCTGGTATCTACCCATCCTTTTGACCTGTTGCCTCGGTGATGTGGGAAGAGCAGTTGGCACTCTCTCACCGCTGTTAAAACAAGTGTTATGTGCTGCTTCTTGTAACTAGGGGTGGGGGAGAAATACCACTCAGTTCATGTTGAAAGTGTTGGAAAATTCCATTCCACCTTTACTGTAGTTGCAGACATGAAACTGTTGCATGTCACATGTCTGTTTACATACCAGCACAGCTTGCTGGGAACGTCCGTTGTGTGTAGAGCTTTTGCTTTTCCCTGTCTCTTTGAGAAGACAGAGAGAGAGACTACATGTTTCTTGGTCCTGATTTATGATTAATAAATCCGTAGTTGTAGTATGCTTCCACAAGCCTCACATCTATTCTGTGTGCGCAGTTTCTATCTGCTGAGATAGTGTGCCCTGGCTTTGAAGCTGGGTTGCTGATTTACGTCGGAGCAGCGGCTGATGGGTCTTCGCCGCGGGATGGCTGGAAGGAGACGACCCAGCTGGGCTAGTCAGCTGGCCTTGCGACCCTCTGCATGTGGACAGAAAGATGAACCTCCCTGGTTTGCGCTTTCCATGCCAAACCGTACATGAACACCTCCATCCGCTGAAATGCGCATGTCTCCAAATCTTGCATTGCAGGTCTCCAGCAAAACAGGTGAAACTTGTTCTAACATCTGCCTTGTCTTTTGTGTCTCTGTAGGAAGGAGCTCCCTCTATATAATCCTTTCGACTGGGGGAATTTTCCTTCTGGTTACCTTAGTGACCGTCTGCGCCTGTTGGAAACCATCCAAGAAGTAGGACGTTTAAAATTATATGTGTGTTTAAACGTTCCCTGTTCCCCCTCCCCAAAGATTTGTGCAGCATTCTCTCCCTATAACAAAGGCCGCGGCTGCACTACATGTTTAAAGCAGCATCATACTGTTTAAAACCATCATGGCTCCCCCCAGAGAATCCTGGGAACTGTGGCTTGCTAAGGGTGCTGATTATATTCTAATGGATGATTGAATATTAATTTATTTGATATAAGTTGTTTATTTTAAAGTGATGTTTCTTTATGGCATTTTTGAATTGGATCAGATCCGTTATAAGGTGTGTGATTTTGTTGTTGTTTCTTTGTATAGAAAGGAGGTACACAAATGTAAAGTGAAATGAAATGAGAGTTCGACTGAGAGCTACAATTCCCAATGTTCTCTGGGAAGAGGGATTGTTAAACTGATGTGGGAATCGTAGCTCTGTGAGGGGGAACAGGGAGTCTCCTAAGTACTCTCAGCACCCTTAACAAACCACACTTCCCAAGATTCTTTGAGGGCAGCCATACTGCATTAAATGTATAGTGCAGGTGGTTGAAAATTGTAGTTTCGAGCAAGCTGCCTAATTGGTGCCATGGAGGGGTTGTTGTGTTTGAGTCAGCCTTGGCTAAAACAGTGTCCTTACAAGCCGCTGGTCCTCTTATCATTGGCAAATTCCTTCTATGAACAGCTGTGCTTGAGGGCACATGTATCCAGGACATTTGCCAGTACTTGAATTATGCCCCCCACCTCCGAGCTCCTGCAGTTTTTACGTGATGATACCTCTCCATTGTCTTCTTAAAAACAGTAAGGTAAAGGTAAAGGGACCCCTGACCATTAGGTCCAGTCATGACTGACTCTGGGGTTGCGGTGCTCATCTCGCTTTATTGGCCAAGGGAGCTGGCGTACAGCTTCCGGGTCATGTGGCCAGCATGACTAAGCCGCTTCTGGCGAACCAGAGCAGCGCACAGAAACGCCGTTTACCTTCCCGCCGGAGTGGTACCTATTTATCTACTTGCACTTTGACGTGCTTTTGAACTGCTAGGTGGGCAGGAGCAGGGACTGAGCAATGGGAGTTCACCCCGTCGCGGGGATTCAAACCGCCGATCTTCTGATCGGCAAACAGTAACTGACACAAAGCGTTGAGAGTTTGGGGTAGCTGATTCAAGCACTGATGCTCTGTTGTATATAGTCATCTCCCCTCCCCGGTAATTTTCTTTTTCTGTTACAATATGTAGCTGCAGAAATTTCCACCTGTAGCAAAAGACTGGAGTGGTGGAGGTTTCCTTAACCCTTTCCACTCTGGCCATTCCCCCCTCCCCAACTTTTTTGTTTTTTGTTTGCTCCTGATGGGAAAAGATGTGTGGCCCATGCCAGTTGGCCCTTATGTCCCAGTTGGTGTAAAAAAGAGGCGCATGGACTGGTTCTGTGAAGAGTACAGTGTGTTAACAAAGCAGCCTGGGATTGTTTTACCTGACCTGTTTCTCGCCCTGCATTTGCCGCACAACATGACAATTCGACTCACTTTTGGGCAACTCTCCTTTGCTAGGAGAGGATCACATGTGGGGCTGATTTGCAGGCTGCCAGGACCAAGTAGGGCTGACCCCCTTCCATTCCAAGTGGGCTGTGAGGGAGCCTCTGAGCAAACTCATGCAAACTTTTGCATTCACAACAGCTATGTTCAGTTTCCACTCTCTGATGAATATGCTTCTGAATACGGTTGCTGGGAATTGCAGGTACTGTGGTGCTCAGGGGCAGCTTGTGGGCTTCCCACAGGCATCTGGTTCGCCACTGTAAGAACAGGATAGAATCATAGGATCATGGAACTGTAGAGTTGGCAAGGTCCATGAGGGTCATCTAGTCCAACCCCTGCAATGCAGAAATCTTTTGCCCAATGTGGGACTCAAACCCACAACCCTGAGATTAAGAGTCATAGGTTCTAAGAAATAGGTTCTAACAGCTGAGCTATCCCAAACTGCTGGACCAGATGGGCCACTGGCCTAATCCAGAAGACTCTTCTCACTTTCTTATGGTCTTATGCCTTTTTTTGTTTTGTTTTAGAAACAAACGGAAAATGGAGAAGCAAAATTCCTCTGAGTATGTGGACCAGAATGAAGAACAGTTGAAGCAGGATGGTAAACCGTGAACCTCTGCGTTTGGATTCTGACTCTCGGGCTGATGTCTTCCAGGAACTGCTTTATTTGTTGAGCCTGGTTTATGGTTGTCAATGCTAAGTTGTAGGCAGTAGTCCGAAAGCAGCCAGGATCTGGGGACCAGGGGTTATGCCAGGGGGTCAAATTTGCAATTTCAAATACAGTGGTACCTTGGTTCTAAGCACCTTGGTACTCAAACAACTTGGAACCCAAACACTGCAAACCCGGAAGCAAGTGTTCCGGATTGCGAACTTTTTTCGAAAGCCAAACATGCTCCGTTTTGAGTGTTGTGCTATTGATTTGAGTGCCACACTTCCATTTTGAGTGCCACACTTCCGTTTTGAGTGTTACGCTGAGGTCTGTCTGTTTTTGCTATTTATTTTGCATTTTTGTTTTGGCGGCTCTTTTTTTGTTTATGTTACTGTGTGGATCCCAGTTCAGCTACTGATTGATTGATTGTGTGACTGCAATACATTGTTTATTGCTTTCATTTTATGGATCAATGGTCTCGTTAGATAGTAAAATTCATGTTAAATTGCTGTTTTAGGGGTTGTTTTTAGAAGTCTGGAGTGGATTAATCCATTTTGTATTACTTTCTATGGGAAAGCGCACCTTGGTTTTGGAACGCTTTGGTTTTGTAACAGACTTCTGAAATGGATCAAGTTTGAGAACCAAGGTGCCACTGTATCGTAGAGCTAGATCATGGGGTGCCTACACTGAAAGGCTAAAGCAGGAATGTGGACACGGACCCCAACTCCCACCAGTGCTGAAGTTATATTCCTCATTTTCAGGGGGTGAGGACTCAGGAGCTGAAAAGGCATGCAGGGTCAGCCCCAGAAACATGTCCACAAGATGCCCGAGGGTGTATCATTACCATCCTTGGAGGACTCCAGTGCCAAAGACCTGGTCAGACCAGAGACTCTCCTGCTGCATTACTGCGGGAGATTAGTGGTGCAGGATGGGGCCCTTAATGTCAGGCTGCATCTTGCAGCCCAGGTGGTATTAACAAGCTATGCCTGCTGCTACTGTTACATAAGCACTCAGTTCCCACTTGCTCCTTCCTGGAGCAAGATCAGAGCTCCGCTGTCCCATTGCACAGCCTCATGTGTGCAGCAAGTGGAGTGGTGGTCAGGCTTAGCAAGGATCTTAGCGATGTCAGCTGAAAAATGGGGTTTCCCTCAGTGGAGACAGTGTGCCTCTGGGTGTTGGGGAACACGTAATAAGAGAAGGCATTTAGCTGCCCGTTGTCGGGACTAAGGTGCTGAACTTTTGGTTTGATCCAGCAGGGCTCTCCGTAATGTTCCTCAGTCCAAAAGACGGGATCCACAAATCTCTAAATAAATAACATTTGGTTTAATCTACCAAGGCTCTTCTGCCTGCCTCTTTCTGCCATGCTCACCTGCATAGCAGAACCCTTTTCAGGCTTTATTGAAAAGGAATAACTCATTTCCATTCTCGCTTTAATGCAGTGGAGATTGTTCCCAGGAGTGGAGAACACGAACGCAAGAATCCCGTTGCTTTGTACATCTTGAAGGACAAAGTAAGTTTCAAGTGTCGTGCTTCGAGGATGCTTCAGCCTGGTACTCTGCTAATTAAATAACTTTCAGGCCAAAGGGCAAAATGTGAAGTAACGACGAGGGAGAAAATTGATTCAGTTCACATTTCAAGGGGGAATCAACCTAATTTGCACTTTCTGAAATGAAACATAAACCCAAACACATTTGTCCGTTGAAATTCACAGTTCCACGAATTTTGCAATATAGTTGTCCACCCAAATAATGTGTACAAAAAATAATAATATGCAAATACTAGAGTAATGACTTGTAAGGGAGATTAGAATGTGTGAAGAACCAAGTTATTTATTTATTTATTTAAAAAAATACCAACTGATATATCTACTGATAAATGGGATTTGTGTTATTTCTCTCTTCTTGCACAAGTGACAGCCTGTGGTCCTCTGGGCACTACCTTGCCTGAAGTGCATGGATAGCTCTCCATCTGTCCGTATTTTTATAGTAGCTCTGTATACTTTCTGGCATGCCTGTCTGTTTGAATAGGGTGTCCTTAATCTTAGGAACTGGCTTCGCATTCGCTAAATTGCTTCCCGTTACTTTCCCACGACTCATGAGCGACATCTTCTGGTAGCAGTTTTTACAGCCGTCTACTGTGTTGAACGCAGGCTGACCACAACCTCTGCTGCTGCGCCGCATACAAAATTGGAATAATAGTAACATATTTCACTCGATGGTTATGTGTGTGCATGCGGTAACATTGCCTAAGTCAAAGCAGACCAACTTTTCCTGCAAAGTGGGCCACAGGAGTACATTGACATGAAACCTGCAGGCACCGCAATGGCTTGCAGTGTTGCATGGGGGCAGAGGAGAGGCCAAAATCTTATGCCCCCCTCCAGTCCTTGCACTGCTTTCCCAAAGCTGGCTAGGTGAGGTGTGAGGCTTTGGCAGGGTCCTAGAGCCCTCCTGCCTCCTTTCCCAAGCTAGGGAAGTGCTAACTAGGCTTTGGGAAGGAGACGGGAGGACTCTAGGACCTTGTCTGCATCCTCATGCCTCCTTCCCAAAACCCAACGCTTTGCTTACCTGGCTCTGGGAAGGTGGCACAAAGATTAGGGGCTTCAAATGTTGCTGAGGGGTGCCAAAAAAAGGCCTCTAGGGCTGCATGCAGCCCATGGGCCACATATTGGACCACCCTGGTCTAACCACTATATAAATAATATTACCATGGGGGGGGGGGGGAGAGAATATTTTTCCATATCTCATGGAGTTACTGCTTTTCCTGCCCAGAGTCCTAGTACAGTGGTACCTCGGGTTACATACGGTTCAGGTTACATACGGTTCAGGTTACAGACTCCGGTAACCCAGAAATAGTGCTTCAGGTTAAGAACTTTGCTTCAGGATGAGAACAGAAATAGTGCTCCGGCAGCGCAGCGGCAGCGGGAGGCCCCATTAGCTAAAGTGGTGCTTCAGGTTAAGAACAATTTCAGGTTAAGAACGGACCTCCGGGATGAATTAAGTACGTCACCAGAGGTACCACTGTATTATTATTATTTTTTTATTATTATTATTATTATTATTATTATTATTATCCTTCTCCTTCTGGCACACCTCCCTTCTGAGCCTCCTGGCTCTCACCCATTCCCCCCTCCCCCCAATACCCCCCCTCTGGGGCCATGCACAAGAATACAGGGCTAAACCAAGACATTTTGCTGCCTGGGGTGGAGCAGAAAATGATACTCCTATCAAGTCCCTGGCAGTAAAAAAAAAAAGAGTGCTTCTTTTTCCTGAAGCACTCTGTCTGATGGTAGGGCCGTCCCAGTTCCAAAGTGCTTTTGAAGTTCATTGCAGTATGTTGTGGTACTATGCTCATGTTCTGACCGCAGCTGCTTGCTTTTACTTGCTTCCCCAAGGACTCTCCAGAAGCTGAAGAGGAATCCCTTACCGAGTCCCGAAACGCTGCCGAGCCCTCGCCACCCAGCTACTCCAGCTCTCCCCCTCCTCCTGGAAGATCACCTGGACTGCCTGTTCGGTCTGCTCGTCGATACCATCGCTCGCCAGCCAGGTCTCCGGCCACCTCCAGAACACACATATCTCCTACCAGGTCCCCAACCCCGCCAGGGCGCACCCAAAACACCACACGCTTGGTGCGGACTGCTGGAGTTCATATCATTCGAGATCAGCAGGGGGAGGCCAGCACTGTGGAAATCAATGCCTGAAGGCAGCCAGCAGTGTGCATCTGTCTTGTCTCTCTGTGTGTGCAGCGAGGAAGCCTTGCTGAGCTTGTGAATGTTTCCTGGGGTAGCAGTGAGTTTCCGCCTGGCATTCTTTTGTTTTTTTGCACACGCAAATGCATGTTTCCTTTTCGAAAGAAGATGCCTGGGCTCTGCTTTTAGGTAAAAAAAGTGAATCATGCAGTGTTCCACAGGCTGGATGGACCCACTTTAAATGGTTTACAGTAGTTTCAACGCTCCTGCTTCCATACATATGTTTTAAAGGCACTAACTTGCTATTTGTAGCACCCGGGGAGTTAGCACACTGGTGTCGCTAAAACTTTTGCTTTTGGGAACGATGCCCAACTAACTGCTTTAAAGCCTGATGTTTCCATCCAAGCCCTTTGAGACTTTTGTATGGGTGGTGATAATGCAGCCAAGGTGAAAGGTGAAGGGATGCGGGTGGCGCTGTGGTCTAAACGACTGAGCCTCTTGGGCTTGTCGATCAGAAGGTTGGCGGTTCGAATCCGCACAACGGGATGAGTTCCCGTTGCTCTGTCCCAGCTCCTGCCTACCTAGCAGTACGAAAGCATGCCAGTGCAAGTAGATAAATAGGTACCACTGTGGTGGGAAGGTAAACTGTGTTTCCAAGCGCTCTGTCCCGTTGCACCAGAAGTGGTTTAGTCATGCTGGCCACATGACCCAGAAAGCTGTCTGTGGACAAATGCCGGCTCCCTCAGCCTGAAAGTGAGATGAGCACTGCAACCCCATAGTCACCTTCAACTGGACTTAACCATCCAGGGGTCCTTTACCTTTTTTTACCCTAATGCAGCCAATGGGAATGTATCCACAAGTCACATGTCTCGAAGGCTATCTGTGGCCTTCAGTGTAGTCAGGGATGCCCCAACATTAAACCTAATTGCATTTCAAGGCTAGAATCCCTCTTTAAGCCTTGTAAGATTCCTGCTTGACGTTATGACCTCCTGCTCATTATGAGTTGCTTGCGAGCCTGTGGCATGCTGCTAACCACAGTTGGCTGCTACAAACCATTGCCGTTGTCCCCTGTGAAACTTGCATGTGAACACCTTCCAAGTTCCAGGTTCGTCCTACCCTTACTCAGAAGGATGTTAAGGAAACACAGCACATTTCAGAATGTTCCCAGGCCATAGGCTAGAGGTACCCAGCTTTCCAAAGCCTCTTCAAACAGATCCCGACTCAGCTGTTCTTCTGCACAGGACATCCCAAGCATTTCTCATAACTTACAAGCACTGAACAGGAGGTGATCATAGCTCAATGGAAAAGCACATGGATTGCATGCAGAAGGTTCCAGATTCAACCCCTGGCATCTCCAGGTTTGAATTTTTCTTTTTAAAGCATCAGGTGCTGAATAATGGGAAGGAACTTGGCTACAGAACCTGGTGCTGCCCTAAGAATCTCTGCCAGTTCCCATTTGCCCACATTCTTATTTACATCCAGACTTGGGGGTGGCACTGACTAGTTAGTGCAGACAATAACAGCCTAACTGGGACAAATAGTCTAACTGGCAGCTTCTATTTTTCTAAAAAGTTAAAATATTATTTTTAAAAGTAGTTGATTTTATGCCACGCTGTCAGGTTGAAATCATGACTGTATTATTATTTGCCTTTTTTTTTAATCCTCCCCACTCCCCGCCTTTCTTCCAAAAACTTGGGAGAGCATCTTCACAACAACCCTGTGAGGTAGTTAGGCCCAGAGGTTAACCATTGACCTTTATTTCTAAGTGGAAATTTGAAGCCTAGTCCTAGCCTGACACTCTGTGCATCACTGAAGGTCTCCCCACGTGGCAATCCCTTGGTCACAGTCCAACCTGAGGGGCATTTCTAAAAGTGTGGTGGCCCGTATATGGCCTGGGTGTGTGTGTGCACACATCCATCAGACTGCAGGTGAGGAATTTTTATTTGACAGCCTATGTGTGAATGCTTGCTTCTGCGTGTGCGTGCATGCCTGCGGTGTGGACCGCACAGTGCATGCTGATTTCTGAGCTGGATGGCTGCAGAGAGGAGCTGAGACTCTTCACCCTGGGCCCCTGGAAGGGGTGCCTGAGCGTGCTGAGCCTTGATGTCAGCCCTGGTAGGTAATGCCAGGCTAAATGCTCACAGAGTTCCAGGCAGGTTCATGTACTCAAATGAATCCAGGCTAGTCCATGAGTCTCAGAACTCAGCAGCGAGGAAAATTAAGACAAATCTTGGCTCTGCCTGTCATTGGCTCTGAATCCACCCACTATAGGGCTCTTTGCCTTCTGCCCTATCAGCTCCAATGGGCACCAGCCACCAGTGTCTAACCGGTCTCTGTTTATACCTATTTCATGGTACACTTGGGTTTGTCTGTAGTGAAGGGGAAGAAGGCATTGCTCTGCGGGAGTCAGTTTGTGCTAGCAAGCCAGGAATGCAGGAATCAAGAGCAGGTTTGACCCTAGAGCCATGCAGTGGCCAGTGTAGCAAACCACACAGCAGTGCTCATTTCCCCCAACTCCACCCTGGGAGGAAGCACCCTGAGGCATGCATTAGCTTGAATGAAATATCAAGCAGACATGGGCTTTGCAGTATTATGTCAGATGGAAATAAGTTATCCTTTGCATTAAACCTTAGTGAAGAAAGTTCATGTGAGATCTCATTTTTGTGACTGAAAGATGCACACAGGGGAAAAGTCTTAGAATCACAGAATGGTAGAGCTGGAAAGTACCTTGAGGGTCATCTAGGCCAACCCCCTGCAATGCAAGAATCTCTGAATCATACATGACAGGTGACCATCCAACCTCTGCTTAAAAACCTCCACCACCTCTCATGGGAGTTCCATTGTCGTGCAGCTCTTACTGTCAGAAAGTTCTTCCTGATGTTAAGTCAGAAACTCCTTTCTTGGAACTTGAATCCATTGGTATGGGCCCTAACCTCCAGAGCACGAGAAAACAAGCTTGCTCCATCTTCCACGTGACAGCCCTTGAGATACTTGAAGATGGCTATAGTAGTATCTGCTCTCACTCTGCTTGTTTCCAGGCTGTCATGGTCCAGTCTATGGGCAATTGAAGTCCTGGCTGAGGAGGTCAGGACCAGGGGCAAGATGGCGGGGTGGAAGCAGGAATGAGAGTCCAGAAGCCAGGGGTCCGAGGGTCAGGAAGCAGGGAGTCATGAAGTCAGGGGTCTGAGGATCAAGAAGCAAGGAGTCACAAAGTCAAGGGTCAGAGGATCAAGGAGCCAAATGCAGCAAGGCAGGGAATGTGTTGCTGTGGCAAAGAGCCGAAGGGAAATGCTGACCTTATATCCCTTCCCGGCTCTTGCCACCAGGTGCTGTGAGTTACCAATTGGCCTCACCTGTGCGGTTGCTCCTTGCCTCTTCAGAACAAGCTTAGGAAGGCCCCAGTCCTGCAAAGTCCTACTGGTCACAGGGCCTGGCTCCTGCACGCACTCCTGACACTGGCTAAACATACTCAATTCCCTCAACCTTTCCTCATAAGGTTTGGTTTCTGCTTCCTTGATCATATTGGTCCTCCTTCTCTGCACATGTTCCAGTTTATCCATCCTTAAGTTGTCTTGGTGTGATGTGGCTGTAGTGGCCGAACTAGGCATGTAACCTTTCCTTGAGAAACTTATTAAAATTGAAAAGTAACCTTGGGAGGCTACGACTAGGAGTGTAAAAGCAGCAGAGGAACGAGGGAGATGCTTAACCCTGTCCCCATTGTCCATATTATCCCACTGAAAGTTGCCCAAACCAGCTGCCTTCAGACCTGTGGTGCAAAAGGCTCTAGTGTATCCTTATGACTTAGTTGGTGTATCGAGACTGAAGGTTGATTGGATCTGTGCCGACTTCAGCATGTAATGAAAAGGTCAAGCGATTCCCTTTGCCTCGTTTGAGGGATTTTTCTGCTAGCGAGCCTTGGCAGTAAGTGCCAAATCCCAAAGTGGTAGCCATCTGCTGTATGAAGATCGGGAACACAAGAACAGCCTGCTGAATCAGGCCATTGGCCCATCTATTCCAGCATTCTGTTCTCACAGTGGCCAAGCAGATGTCTTGGGAAACCTGCAAGCAAGATCTGCACACAATAACACTCTTTCCTCCTGCAGTTTCCAGCCACTGATATTCAGAAGCATCGCTGCCTCCGACTGTGGAGATAGGTACCTTTTGTGGCACCTTAGAAGTGAACGAATGTACAGGTGAAACTCGAAAAATTAGAATATCGTGGAAAAGTTCATTTATTTCGGTAATTCGACTTAAAAGGTGAAACTAATATATGAGATAGACTCATGGCATGTAAAGCAAGATATGTCAAGCCTTTATTTGTTATAATTGTGATGATTATGGCGTTTCACCTTTTAAGTTGAATTACTGAAATAAATGAATTTCCCCACGATATTTTAATTTTTCGAGTTTCACCTGTATTGTGGTGTAACCATTTTGTGAACCTGAGTCTTCTTTATCAGGTGCATTAAATATTATCCCCCATTCACCATATATGTGTGTTTGTGCAGCACTCGATTTCTCTCCGCTCTGAACACACGCACTTGCCCATTCACCACAGTCATTGCTGGTCAACAGTAGGTGGCAATGTTGCACAAATTAATGGGCAGTGCTGTCTAACCTCTCAGGATGGAGGCAGCATGCTTTTGAATACTAGTTGCTGCAGGCTTCCCAGGAGGCGTCTGATTGGCCCCTGGGAAACTGGATGTTAGAATATGTGGACGTTTGCTTTGTTCATACATTCGTATGTGCGAAATTCATGGCACTTACCACAAATCAGGGGCTCACAGTTATAGGAGCAGATGGGCCAGGGAGTGTCAAAGCTTTTGCCAAGCTGTGCCTTGCACATATCTGTTAGAATTCCTGGCTCCGTGATTGCAGTCATGGTGTTGTTGTCTTTCACATGACGGTATATGTTTTGGCTCCACAGAGTGGGAAGTGACGAAGACAGGATGTTTGTGTTACTGTGTTCCATGAAGTGGGACTATTGTCCTTTGTTCTTTTTCTCTTTGCTG